TCTCAGCCACGATAGGTCATCAACAACTCAGAGGTGGCAGCTTAGGGGGAAGGGGAAATCCGCTGGTATCACTGATGGGGAAAGCACTGGACAAGATGGGAAGAAGGCTTCAGGAGGCGAGTTCCTCAGGGCCGGGCAGAGTCTAGGCTTTCCCTGTGGCCGTGAGTGAACTCTGGCTTGCAGTAGGCCGTGACTTGACCAATGCCACTCAGCAAACCATGGGTAGAGTTGGGGTCAGAACTTCTGTCTATCTCGCCTCCACGTCTGGAGCGTCCTCACTGCACAGGGTTCCTACTGCTTTGTTGAGTGTGACCCTGATTTACTGGGGGGAGGGTCTGTTAAAGAATGGCAGGAAGGCACTAAGGACCGGGTCTCAGAGCCAGGGCCCCAAGTTCTGGCTTTCCAGAATAAGTTCATAGGGAGAACCAGGAGTGCCTGAGGGGGACAAGGTTGAAGGAAAGTGTCTGACCTTTGTGGGGAGATCCCCTTCCTGGAAGCTAAGGAATTCAGCCCTGAGCCAGTTGGAGACTCGGTAATCTTCGCAGCCCTTCAAGGCAAGCCGGTTACACCAGAAGTCCGAGCTGAGCCCACCATACATATCTAGCCCGCCAAAGCGGCCTTTTTCTGGGATCTTTGCCTGTGGACATGAGACACATGAGAGGCACAGGCCTCTCTACCCCCAGACCTCCTTCCCATGGTCCCTCCAGCCTTCCCTGCTGCAGGCCTCCCGGCTGAGGTACCTGGTTGCCAGTGGATATGCTCTGGGCTGAGAGGAAGGGGCTGATGAAGGGTATCTTGTGGGAAGCACCACACCGCTGCCGCAGCACGGTGCTCTCAGAGTGGCACTGCTCCAGCTTCAGGGAGCAGAAGGCACAGAGGGGACAGGCAGGTGTGTGTCGCCGGCCAAGATTGTCACAGACCTGGGACAGGAGTTTGAGTGAGAGGCTGAGTCTTGGCAGGTCACCCTCTCCCCTGAATCAACCCTCCAGAGCTCACAGCATGATGGGCGATGCTTTTTGGCCTAAGGCCTTTTGCTCATCCTTCCTAAGACTCCCTCGGGGACCTCCCCTCAGTTCTCTCGGGATGGTTTCCCAGCTCCTAAGTAAACTTCATCTGCAGGTGGAGCCCCCATTTTAATACCAGCTCTGGTTTCTTCCCCAAGCTCCAAATTCTCCTTGCCAAGTAACTCACAGGCATCTGACATGGGGGAAGGGAATCCACCCTTGCTTAAACAAGGATCATAACTCTCCTCTCTGTTCCATTAGTGATTGTGCTAGCAATATTTGCAGAGGTCACAGTGCTGGCCAGCAGAGGTAGGAGTGTCACAAGACTGAGACCTGCCTGAGGTACTTGGCAAGACACTGCCTAAAAAAAAAAGAAAGAAAGAAAGAAAGAAAAAGAAAAAAAAATTCAGGGATTTACCCTCTTGGAAGGCGGAGGTAGGAGGATGAGGAATTTCAAAATCTTCAAGTTCTAGACCAGCTTGGCCTATAGAGATCCTTTCCAGCTTGGCCTACAGAGGTCCTTTCTTTAAAAACAAAACAAACAAACAAAAACCAGCCAGGCATGGTGGCACATGTCTTTAACCCCAGCATCCTGGTGACACCGATAAGTGGATCTCTGAGTTCCGGGCCAGCCTGGTCTACATAGTGAGACCAAACACCAAAGGCATGCCATTAATCCCACAAGTACTAACAGATGACACCGGCACTTACTCACGAGGAGAGCGAGGCTCCATGTGGTTAGGGACATTGCTCAGAGTTGGACATGGATCCAGGTCTTTCCATCTCTCAGACCCGCTCGCTCTCCATCACATGCCTAGTTCCTTTCGGAGTGGGGTTACCCATCTCCTAGCTGAGCTGGTCCTGAGTGTTCCTCAGCACAACCAGAAACATCTGCTCAGGTGCACCTTCATCCCACCATCACCCAAGGGGCAGCCTGAAACAAGGCGTGGGCTCCTTTTCAGTCCCTGCTCACCCTGCAGCAGCAGGCGAGGGAGACAGCAGCAGGACCCTGACCCCCGACTTCTATCAGTTTTCCCTTCCCTGCAGTGTTAAATGCCTCCAGTAGCAGCAGGACTTTCTACGTTAGTACCCTATCTGTTTGACTTTGTCTTCTGATACCATGTGCTCAGGAAAATGGACTCTGCTCCCTTATCCAAGCACACTACCCTGAGTCTATGACCTCTGAACTTACGTTTCTAAATAAAAAAAAATCTCTCTCCAGCACACCCTCTTATAATACTGCTGACTCCACGTAATCCTCCCGTGTCAGGCTCAAGTTCCTTCCAGCCAGAGAACGTGTTCATCCTGAGCTCTTCGTGAACTTCTAGGTCCTGCTTGCTGCAGAGCCTTGTGCATACTATCCTCCCTACCAAGAACCCGCCACTGGGCTCCTCCTTGTGCCTTAACTCCCTTCAGGTCTCAGTTTAAACCCCAGTTCCCTGAAGAACATTCTCCGATCACCGCCATCGTGCATGTTGGCGACACCAGCTGCTTTCTCGGCATTCTCTCCTCGTCCCCATAACAGTGCTGACCTCCCAATGCCCAGCTAGGCCTGGCACCAGGTCCTCGGATGTGAAAGCTCTCTCCCACTGAGCACACCCTTTTTCTCCCCAACTAGTTTCCAAGAGAGCAATCATTGAATCTTCTTTGTATCCTGCTAGCATCCCAAGTGTCAAGCAGACATTTGGTGCCCAATCAGTGTTAGCCGAAGACACAGAAGAATGAGTGGTAGGTTGGCTCAGTGGTTGTTTGCTGAATTGTAGTGTTTCAAAATCAAGGAACCATGTGTGGTTGGGTGCACCAGCACACCCAACTACTGCCTACTCCCGAGGCCAAGAGAGCATCACTTGAGCCTCAGACAATACCAACAACAGAAAAAGGGACCCTTAAAAGCACATATCTTTCTGGGACTGGACTTGCTAAATGTGGAAGAAATGTGGAACTGGGACCATTTTACAGATCCCTGAAATGCCGTGGTGGTAATCTTGGTTGTCAACTTGACCAGACCTAACATCAACTAAGAGGCAAGCCTGTGGGCATTTCTGTGAGGGATTTCCTTGACCAGACTCTTTGAAGTGGGGAGAGCTGAAGGGAGGGTGGTAACCCAGATAAAAGGGCGAAGGGAGAAAGCAGATTTCCATTTTGGCTCCTTGCCTTCGCCTCGCCCTCAAGTCCATCTATCCTGTTGCTATCAAAGATGCATTCCTTCACTAATCTCAGAATCTACGTCTTTGGGATTCCAACATAGATTGAAGACCAGCTGCTCCCCAGGATCCTTCTTCCCAGGCTTTAGTACCTGGTCGGGACTGTCAAGACATCCAGCCTCATGGATTGAGCTACCACCAGACTGTTGGACTCTCTAGTGTGAGACAGCCGTGGCTGGACCACTCAGATCATATCATGTAAGCCAATCCAATAAATCCCCTTCGGATGTGCTCATTTTCTGGGTTCTGTTCGTTGAGAGGACCCTGATACAGACTATGAAACCAGTCCCCAGGATGACAACTATCCCCCTGGTGGCAGGCACCACTGTGGAAACTGCAGTGTGTTTTCCTTACTTGAGTTTCCGTTCCTGTCCATGCCTCTGGTGAACTCACCCGTGGACTTACAGAGTGCCTGATCCACCATCATGGTATTCCACAGCTTTGCTTGTAGTTAAGGAACTCACTTCTAAGCCAAGTAAGGGGCCAGTGGGCCCCCACTCACGGAATTCACCGGTTCCCACCATCCTGAAGAGAGCTGGCTTGGCAGAATGGTAGAATGGGCTTTTCACTTTTTCAATTTTGTTTTATGTGTATGGATGTTTGTGTGCATGCCTGTCTGTTCACCACGTGTGTGCTTGGTGCTCTTGGAGGCCAAAAGAGGGTGTCAGATCCCCCTGGACCTCGAGTTACAGATGGTTGTGAATCACCATATGGGTGTTTAGAAATAAACCTGATTCCTTTGGAAGGGCAACTGGTACCCTTAACCACTGAGCCCATTGCTCCAGCCCTTGGAATGGAATTTTTTTTTTGGGGGGGGGGGTTTGAGACAGCTCTGGCTGTCCTGGAACTCAATAGACCAGGCTGACCTCCAACTCACAGAGATCCACCTGCCTTTGCCTCTTGAATGCTGGGATTAAAGGTGTGCACCGCCACTGCCTGGCTTCGAATGGCTTTTTAAGACAGTTACAGCGCCAATCAGATGGGAGCAGCAGAAAGCGCTGGGGTCGTGCTTTCCGGAAGACTGCATATGCTTTGAATCAACCTCCAGCACACACTATGACTTCTTCCATAGCCAGGGTTCAGGGTCTAGGAGTCAAGGAGTGGAAATGAGGGCGGCACCGCTACTCTCACTAGTGACCTAGGAACTTACTTTCTTCCTGTTCCTTGGACTCTTGGCTCTGCTAGCCAGGAGTTGTGGCTCCATAGGGGAGCATTCCTGCCAGGAGTCACAAACATTACATTTCAGTAGACGCTAAGACCCCCCCCCTTGTGCCGCCACTTTGGGGAACAAGTCCCAAGCTAAGAAAGGAACAGATGTTAGGAGGGTGATTGATCCAGTCTACCAAGGGGAAGCTGAATTCCTTCTTCACAATGGAGATAAGATCATGTCTGAAGTGCGGAAGACATTTTAGGGCTCTGGTTGTCAATCTTCCTTATGCTGAGACCCTTTAGTACAGTTCCTCATGTCGTGGTGACCCCTAACCGTAAAATTTTTTGTTGTGACTTCATAACTGTAATTTTGCTCCTGTTACAATTCATAAAGTAAGTGTCTGATATGCAATCCCTGCAAGGCACCGACCCACAGGTTGAGAACTGTGGCTTTAGGGCGTCCTCTTGGTGCTACCACGCCCTGTCCTGCGATCAAGGACAATGGGAAACAACCACCCAATCCAGGCTGGAGGACAGGATCCCAACTCTTCATGGACAGAGGAATGGGTCACCCCTCCATTCAAGGCACTTTCTGAGGGGAGGAGGCACAGAACGAGTAGAAGTTAGCAGTACCACCGGCTAAGGCCCTGTGACCAGTCACGGAAATGAGGACTGTAACTGATGTCTTCCCGTCCTGTTTTGTTAAGGACATGTTTGTGCATATATACACACATAGTAAGCAGCAGACATTTGTGTTTTCTTTCCTCTATTTCTTTATCATGTAATGCAACATCCATTGAGATAATATTAGTGCTTAGGTGTTGTAAATATATATTATCCTATGTAAATTATGGGACACTGGAAGACGAAGCATTCCTCAAGGGATTTTGCCACCTCTTCTTAATGTGTTTAGTTATATGCGGGGTGGTTAGAACACATGTAGGCAGAAATATAATCTTGTCATTTTCATGTGGAGATTAAGCACGACAGAGAGATTGGGTGTCCACTGACAAGGGCTGAGTTTCTCATGGTTAATCTTGGTTGTCAACTGTACTGGGTTTGAAATCAACTAAAAACAGCCACTGGGAACTCCTGTGAGGGATTTTTTGGACCAGATCATTTGAAGGGGGAAGATTGATTCTAAATTTGGCTGCACCGGGCACTCGTAGGCCAGACAGTAAGGAGAGGGGAGAAGGGAGCTCTGCTTCTGGCCTGCTTGCCTTCATGCTCGCCGGCAAGTCCAGCTACCATGCGGAGGTGGCATTCCTTTACTGATATCAGAACCAGTGTCTTCAGGCTTCCAGTGGATAGGAAGACCAGCAGGTCTGCAGGAATCCTCAGGCCTCCAGCGCCAGTCTGGAACCGCTGAGTGCGTCAGGCCGCACAGATTAAGCAACTACCAGATTCCGAGCCTCTCCAGCCATTTGTTGGACTACGTAGACTGTATCACGTAAGCAAATCTAATAAATGCCCTTTTAATATACACTCATTCTTTCAGTTCTGTTTCTCTAGAGAATACTAATACAAATGGTTTCTGTTATGTTTCGGGGTTTTGGTACTCGAGACTGAACCTAGGGTCTTCCGCACGCTAGGCAACTGTTCTACCACTGAGCTTCATCTGAGACTGGGTCTCACTAAGCCGTGTTCATTCTGCTGCCTGTTCCACAGAGTGAACTTGTGACTATTGCTTCAGCCTTGTGAGCAGCTGGGACTACAGCCTGCACCACCAGAGTCAACAGGAATACATTCTATGAACCTTCTGGAAGGAAAAAAGAGCACAGCTAGGTACTGAAGATGCTGACTAGGATTCAAGGGATGGTTTACAGCCTAACTACTTCAAGGGCTGAAGGATGCATTCAAGCCCAGACTGGCTTCCAGACTAGGTCTTGAACCGTCTTCCTCTGTGGCAGCTGGAGATGTCCTTCCAAGGAATCTCTTTAAGCTACCCCTCATGCTTTCCTTGCCCAGCCCCTCACCCATGGCTCACACAGTACCAGGCCCATGGAATGTCCAGTGGCATGTATCCATTAAATAGCATGGTGGACATACCGAATCCCCGAAGCCAAGGATCTCCTCCTCCATGTAGTTCCAGGCCTTGGCTGTGGGAGTCATGGTGCAGGTATTCTCCATAATGGAATAGCATAGCACCATCATGGTCTCCGTGTGGGGCAGCTGCAGGAGGCTGCAAGAAGACAGTACAGACTGGTGGGGATGGGCTAGAGGGGTGGGGCAGAAAAGCCACATCCTCTCTTCCCCACCGCCAAGCAGTTGGGCTTTGGTGACAAGCATTCAGCATGCTTAGCAGAGGACCTCCATCCTGCAGCCGGAGAGGACCTTGGACCATCTGCCTACTTTATACAAATGAGGAACTGAAGTCCAACATGGAGAAACAGTGGCTGGAGAGATGGCTCAGTGGTGAAGAGCAGTCGCTGCTCTTCCAGAAGACCCAAGTTTGGTCCCCAGCACCCACTCTTGTAGCTCACAACCACCCATTTACTGTAGTCCCAGGGGATCCGACGCCCTCTTTTGACCTCCATGGACACCTGCACGCATGTGCATGACAGACACACAGACACACACACCTAAGTAACAATAAATATTAAAGAACAACAACAACAAAATGGAGAAATAACTTTCTGAAGGCTTTAGTGCTAATCAAGGCCAGAGATAAGACCAGAACCCAGGGTGGGGCTTAAAACAAGGATGGGCACAGAACAGGAGGGGCCCCGCCACTGCTAGCTTTGCCTGAAGCCTAAGCAGGTCTGAGAGGGTCTGGAGACCAAAGCTGGTAAGTGGGCTTCGCAATTCCAAAGATGGCAGCAGGGATGGCAGGGCCCATGAAGAAGTCACAATTTCCTGTACCTGCCAGTGCTTGGGCTTCTCCAGGAGTTATCGCTCAGTTCATTCATTGCATCCATTTCTTGGGCTGACCGAATTAGCTCCTGGATGTTCTCCATCATCAGTGGTGGAGAGTCCACTTCTCGGACCCGGGGAGTAAAGGAGGATGAAGGGTTAAAAGACAGCGATTCAGCCTGAAACTTGGGCTCTGAGTCCGACTGCAGGTTGGACGCTGACTCCAGGCCTTCCTCTGTCCCCTGCCCCTCTTCCTGTTTGGCTTCTTCCTCCTCTTCCTCCTCCTCCTGCTCTTCCTGCTCCTGCACTTCCTCTTGCTTATGCTCCTGCATTTGCTCCTGCTTGCGCTGCTCCTGGACCTGCTTGCGGCTGCCCAGCTCCTTGCCCCCCAGCGACAGGGACGACTGCAGCAGCTCCTCCACGTTATTGTTGAGGCGCTCAGGCCATGGCTGGAAGGCCTGGCGATCCGTGGCTGCAGCAAGGTGTAGAGGAGACCAAGAGAAGAGAAGAGCAAAGATCAGATTTCCTTCCCCTGGAGAAACCATGTTTATCCGTGCTACCACGGCAGTGCGGGCCTGTAATCTTATCACCCGGGAGGTGGAGACAGGGGAGGACTTCAAGTCTAGCCTCAGCTACAGATGGAATCGAGGCTAGACAAGGCTGGAGACCCTATCTAAAAACAGTATCAGCACAAGTTGTGTGTGTTTGTTTTGTTTTTTAATCAAGAAATTGGGGGGGAGGGATGAAATTGGGGCTAGAGGGTAATTGCTAAAGTGCTTGCAAGCATGGAAACCTGAGTTCAACTCTAAGGATACATAAAGTCTGGGTATGGGGGGATGGAGAGATGGCTCAGAGGTTAAGAGCACTGCCTGCCCTTCCTAAGGTCCTGAGTTCAGTTCCTAGCAACCACATGGTGGCTCGCAACCATCTGTAATGAGATCTTGTGCCCTCTTCTGGCATGCAGGCATACATGCAGACAGAATACCAAGAATACTGTATACATAATAAATAAATAGATTTTTTAAAAAAGTCTGGATATGGCAACAAGTGCCTACAGTCTGTGCTGGGAAGGTGTGGACACAAGGATGCTGAGGATTTACAGGCTGTCAGTGAGCTCCAAGCTTCTTTGTATTAATTAATTTTTATTTTTTGTTTTCTTGAGACAGGGTTTCTCTCTGTATCCCTAGCTGTCCTGGAACTCGCTCTGTAGAACAGGTTGGCCTCAGAGATCCACCTGCCTCTGCCTCCTGAGTACTGGGATTAAAGGCGTGCACTACCCCCGCCCAACAAGTAATTATTTCTTTGAGACAAAGTCTTGCTATGTAGTCTTGGTTGATCTAGAATTCAGAGTTCCATCTACTTCGCATGTGCTGAGACTAAAGACCTGTGACACCATGCCCAGCAGCTCGGTGTTTCTTTTTTCTTCATTCTTTCTTTTTCTTTTAATGTGTCTATTTTTTTATAATTTATTTTTATTTTATATGCATTGGTATTTTGCCTGCATGTATGCATGGATGAAGGTGTTGGATCTCCTGGAACTGGAGTTACAGACTGTTGTTTTTTTTATTTTTTGCTTTTTTTGAGACAGAGTTTCTGTTTGCATAGCCCTGGCTGTCCTGGAACTCTCTCTGTAGACAAGGCTGGCCTTGAACTCAAAGAGATTCACCTGCCTCTGTCTCCCAAGTGTTGGGATTAAAGGTTTGTACCACCACCACCTGGAGTTACAGACAGCTGTGAGCTGCCATGTAGGTGCTGAGAATTGAACCCAGGTCCTCTGCAAGATCAGCCAGTGTTCTTAGCCATGGAGTCATTTTGCTAGTCACGGATTCCAAGTTTCATGAAAGAACCAGTCTCAAAAACTAAGGTGGTCTAAGCTGGACATAATGGTATATGCCTTTAACCCCAGCACTCTGGAGATTGAGGCAGATCTTTGTTGAGTTCTAGGCTAGCCTGGACTACACAGTGAGTTCCATGCCAGCCAGGGCTACACAGTCACACTCAGTCTCAAAATAAATGTGGTCACAGAGGAAGACCCTCAGTGTTGACCTATGATTTCCACACACATGTACATGCGCGCACAGGCACGCGTGAACACATTTGCATATACAATCAATAAATGTCAAAAGATATCACCATAACAAATGTGTTGGTGGTGTCGCCTTCCCACTTGCCTTACAAGTAAGTGTGCTTGTTCCCTAGAACAAATGTTCCCTTTACTCATCTAGAGAAGACCATGTATTCTAAGGAACTAGCAACTAATTCCTTCTTACTTGAATGAGGGGGATATTAGGAATCAAACCCAGAGCCTCATACATGCTAAGTACATGGTCTACCATTGAGCTATGCTCCCAGTCCAAATACTCTCTAAAATAAAGATATTAATTTACCAAAGGCCTAGAAGGCTTTTATTTTTATTTTCATTTTATGTGTATGGATATATGTCCAGGCACCATATTCATGCAGTGCCAGTGGAGGCCAGAAGAGGGCGATGGATCTCCCAGGACTGCCATGTGAGGGCTGGGAATTGAGCCCAGGTTCTCGGAAGAGCATGCAATGCTATTAACTGGTGATCTCTATGAGTTCGAGGCCAACCTGTCTTTGGAATTAGGAAAACCAGATTCAGACAAAGACCTTAAGTAACAGTGGAAGAAACTCTAGGACGAGAGAGCCTTGATTTATTTCAAGCAAAGCAAAAGCTTCTCCCTTCCCCAATACCCAACCCCCCAGCCCTGGGAACTGTGGTTTCCCCACACTGGGAAGGCTCACCTGAGACATGGGATGCCATGGCAGAAGTCATGGTGGTGGGAGGGACATCTGCCGGAGAGTCTAACTCCTTCAGAGTGTTGGGTGACAGGATGGAGACTGGCTGGGAGCATCGGACCCTCTGCAAGGGAAGAAGAAAGATGGGAACACCTTTTCCCCGAAAGCAGTCATCCCTGCTCCAGGGGGATCCCTCAGACCCCTTCCAAGCAAGTAACAACTCCCGCAGCTCCCGGGTAAGAGGAAGGAACACAGTTCCTCAAATCCTAAGAAAGGGCATTTGTTCAGGCCTGGTGCCAGCCTTCACTCTTTCTCAGTGGACTTGAATGGAAACAACAGAAGGGCCTCTTCCTGCATCCCTTCTCTCCTTTACTCACGGGAACTTGTGTGAGCACCTGAGGAGAGCAGTCACCTTGGCAAACTGACAGGGAGCACGAACTAATGATGCCCTTCCTCAACTTCCCACCTCTACCTTGGTTCTGGATCACCAGATTGAACCTTTTCTCACCTTGGCGTAGTAGACATGGTTGGAGCAACGATACTGTGCAAACTGGCAGAAGGACTCAAACCAGGAAGCATACGGGAGGTCAGAGCAGACAGCACCTGAGGGAGGACAGCAGCCGTGGAGAGAGAGGTTACAGGAAAGCCAGGGCTGGAGCAAGGTCTCCACGAGCAGAGATAAGGAGCGGTCAGCCATATCCTTCCCCTGCCTCCTCTATGACCACGAAACTTTTGCCTTGAGCCTAGTTGGTCTCTGGGTGTCTAGAGTTCCCACTGGTCTGGCCCTCACCATCTGGTACCAATCCATGGTTTTCATATTGGTCCAACTGGACGAGAGTGGGGTTCCGGCAGCCGTGGGTTGCACGGAGGCGGCAGGTAGTCTCTGCTTTCCAGGTTGGGGTCAGGAGGGCGAAGAAGCGTTCATATTCAGTCGATGAGAGAGGGCTGCCCGGAGTGGAGGCCGATAAATCGTCAGTTGGAAGAGGTGTTACGGGCAGGAGCCGCACTGCAGGGAAGGGAGACAGACAAGAATGGACCGTACCCCAAAACATACTCCGCGTCCAGTGGCCAGACCCAGACTAGTAGACTCCTCATGAATTAAGAATTGGTAGGTAGCTGTGTGTGAGAGAGGGGGTCAGGCCGTCTTGGGTGATGTCTGATGACTATAGTGTCCCCAGAAGCTTCTAGGGACAAGAAATTAAGATCCAACCTTTCCCAAGATATGGAGTGGTTCAGTTCGACCACATGAAGACAGAACCAATGAAAAAGGGTTCTTAGGAGGAAGGGACCTGAAGCCCTTTTGGGAGCATAAGGAAGCCTCAGGAAAGATCCACCCGCGTTTTCAGACCATGGCACATCAGCCCTAGCCTCTCACCTTCCAGAAGCAGCAGAAGGAAGCCTGCAGCTAGTTTCATCATGGCCCGGAAGATCCACCCGCGTTTTCACACCGAAGCGACCTCCAACGGGCCAAGCCTCGGAGAGCTGTGGGTCACGGGCTGCTAACGCGGGTGCGGGGAGGCGCGCTACATCCGCTACGTCACAAAAGGTGAGGGTGGGGCCGGAGCACGAGGTAAACTCTCGTGAGCTGCATCAGTTTCGGGTCTTGGTCCGAAGGCAGGAGCCGCAGGCCTTCCAGTCCTTCTTAACCGAGTAAGCCCTCTGTTGCTCGGTACTGCTTTCTTTGAATTTATCTTTGCACTGCCGGGAATTGAGCCTAGACCCTTGCTTCTCCTACCAGAGCTAAAGCCCCAGCCCTGCGTCCCACTTTCAGCCACTTAGGCCTAGACCTCCTCTACATATACAGAACGTGGGCTTAGGGAAGCAATGCTGTACAGAGACCTAGTCGTTGAGTACTGGCAGCACTCTGGACAGCAGAGCTGGAAGGTCTGAAACAAGAGCCGGGACGACCTGACCTGGTAGGTAAGAAGTCGGGCAGTGGTGGCGCACACCTTTAATCCCAGCAGAGACAGAGGCAGCTGAATCTTTGAGTCTGAGGCTAGCCTGGTCTACAGAGTGAGTTCCAGGACAGCCAGGGCTGTTATATAGAGAAACTGTTTGGGGTTGCGGGAGGAGAGGGACAAGTCCAAAGTTAAAATGAACACACGTGTAAGAATGGTTCAGCGGCCCAAGGGACTTACTTTTTCCAAGAGGGAGGGGACCAACACAATTCATTGGGGGATGGGGAGAAAATACTAGTTTTATATTTATTTGTACTTAAAAGAAATCAAGCTAACACTATCACAGCACACATGTGTAACGCAAATACATGATTTATTGGAATCAGGTGAAAAGTGTTTCACGGAGAGCATAATTACAAAGTTCTGAGTCCCCCGATGCAGGTGGAGAAGCTGTGGGCACCACAGGACAAGTACCATTTTGGGTTTCATGTCTTGTCCTGCTTCTGGCAAGCCATCCTCCTGCCTCTCATCCAATCCAGAGGATGCAAAAAGAAAGCTTATCACATGTAGGGAAATCGTTTCTACAATAAACACAGCAGGCTAGCATGGAGAGCTTTTATTTACCTACCCCAATTCCTTTTACATGTGAGTTATCTGTTCCACCTTGGCCCGCTCCCATTCAAAGTCAGGAGAAATCCCCGGGTCACATAGGAAGGGGCAATCACTCAACTAGGGCAGAGCCCAAATGATCTAGAAGATCCCTCACCAAAGAAGTTTATCCTACCGAGCCCCGGGAGGGGAAGGGAAGGAAGGTTTAGGAGACCAGAAGAGCGCCCCACTCCACTGCCCCAGTCCTTAAATACAAAGCAAGGGGAATGAAGAGGACCCTCCCTCTGAAATACAGCACCAACCTCACCACGGAGGCAAAAGGACAGCGAGTGGGATTACTTCCCTCTGAAGGAGAGAGTGGAAGGAGAGCACATACCGTTAGTGGCTGTGGCACCCTCCCTACCGGGGTTTGGATGCAGCCTCAGCACCAGGAGTGGGGAGGGGGGAGAAGGGATGACGGTACTGCACTGTCGACATCTCCCTGGACCCCCAGAGCCCCAGAAGAGGCGATCCTCTCTGTCACTAGCCCGGGTCAGGGGGATTCGGAAGAAATCTGGGATGGAATCCAAGGAAACCTATTTCTTCTTTCGTTCTTGGGAGCAGCGTGGGCAAAACCTAAAGAGCGACAAAGAAGAGCAGGGCAAGCCAAAAGTAAGTGAAGCCTGTGTGCGCTCTTTTGCTCAGCTCTGGGACAGTCTGTCCAGCTCCTGCCACGGCTCTGTGACTTACCATTTCCCTCGAGGCTTGGTTGTCAGTCCCACACAGGCGAAGTGGAACCACTCGATGGAACACTGGAAAAGGCAGATGGAACACAGCGGTCAAGGGCCTGAGCAGGGTGGAGGAGAGAGGAGCCACCTGCAGACTCCTAAGAGGAGCCCTTCATTCCAGCCTTCTGGAAACTTCCCGCAAGTCTCAAGGCAGCCCAGTCCAACCACTGTTCCATTCTGCAGTGCCTCTCTCCAATGGAATCACCTCCTCCTATTTCCGCCCTCACGCCCCTCCGAGCTCCTCCCCCAATCCTGAGGCAAATGGTTCTCACATCTGGGTTGTCACAGCCAATCATCTCTCCATAGGAGACCTGGTGACAAAGGCAATATGTGGGTTCGTTGGGATCCACAGGCATATCCAACACATCAGAGGGGTGGACACTGCCAAAGGTCACTGAGGGCATCCCATACTCAGGGCTTCTGCGTGCCAAGAGGAAGACAAATGTCACCTGCAGGAAGGGAAGCTACAACCTGAGCTCTGAGGTGGCAGGAGATCATGGTGAAGCAAATGGCATATGCCGTCTTCTCCATCCAGCAGACACCAAAGTGACATACAGAGTTACTGGCACAGAAGACAGGGAAGGTGGCAAGAGGCAGTACCGGCTGGGAGGTGGGTGTGCTCTGGTATACTCACGTGCGCACAAGTTTTAACTTCTTCTGGGCAGCCTTGGGGGCTTCTTCGTCTGAGTTTTTCCCTTTGGAACGGGCACGGGCAGCTTTTTTCTCCTTTTGAGTCCGGCCTTCTAGGAAGAAAGGGTAAGCCAGAAGGCAGAGACAAAGAGATAGGTTAAGTCCTCTTTGTTCTGTTCCAGGTGGTGCTGCTCCGTCATAGCTGAAGTTGGCCTCTTCTCCCTCCGAGTCCTTGCCCGCATCTCACAGCCCCGCCCCCCTCCTCACTCTTTTTGCCTTTGCTAGAAGAGCTGTCATAGTCACTTGACTCGATCTGTTTCTCTTTCAGATCAGCCTCAAAGCGGGCCAGGTCTGTGTCCAGCCGCCGAATGTGTTTGTCCACCTACGGGGGAGGGAGAAGGGGAGAGGTACAAGGCTGGTTCCAGGGAAAGGAAACAGCTAAGGCAGACTGATGAATCTCCCAGACCCCAAACCGATCCCAACACGGCTGCAGGAGGGGTCTACGGCCTGAGGATTAGATGGGAGAGAGGTGGGAAGCCATGAACAGGGCCATACCATCTCATAGGTCTGCATGGCCAGCTGCACCTTGTCATCACCAAATTCCTTGCACTTGCCATAGGCCTCCTGGATCTGTCTGAGAAGGGCCAATTTTTCCTCGGAGCTCAGGCTGCGGGCGCTACTCATATATTCAGTGGCCAACTTGTCAATTTCAGCCTTCAGGTCTACAACAGAGACAGAGGCCTGGGTCACAATGGCCCCTGGTGCCTAGATGAAACATATGTCTTCCTCTTGTTCTTTGGACCTTTTACATTGGCCATCAAAACCTTCCAAATGAATGTACTGAACGTTCACAGGTAGCGTGCCTTGTATTCAGGAAATGCAACACTGAAATTATTTGAACCATTTTAGGTTTGAGACAGCGTCAGTATGCAGCTCAGACTGGCCTTGAACTTGGGATATCCTCTTGCCTCTGATTCCCTAGCACTGCCAGAACAAACATGTGCCACCGTGTCTGGCTGAGACTGTCTTAAGGTGACTTCGAGGTGCAGAAAACATGGCTGCCAGAGATGGAACTGAGACTACCGAAAGGCACTGTGGGATTCTCAGCCGTGTACGTGTTAACATGAAGCGCATTTCTGAGGATGGTTCACAATGCTTCTTTGCAGGCTTGCTTGCTGCTTGCCTCCCGAGTTTGGTTCCAAAGGCCACCTTGTTTCTTGTCTTAACCACATCCCCCAAAGACCTGACTGGGCCGGTCACTTACTGGTGCTGTGGCCTCCAGAGTTCTCTCTCTCTGACATAGGATCTTGCCCAGGTTGGCCTCGAATTTATGATCGTCCTGCCTAAGCCGCCATAGTGCTGGGTCTGAAATTTTAACATCAGGTCCTAATTCCTCCAAGAAATGCCGCTTCTGCATCCTTACCACCTTACTTTTTTTTCTCCTTTTTTGAGTACCAAGTCTCATTCTGTAGCTCAAGATGTCTTGGAATGTACTATGTAGTCCAAGCTGGTCTCAAACAAAAGCAAATCCTCCTGCCTCAGCCTCCTGAATATTGAGATTACAGGTCTGAGCCACCGTATCCAGCTTGCTCATCTTACTTTGCTCATCAGGCCTTACCACCTTACTTTTTTTTCTCCTTTTTTGAGTACCAAGTCTCATTCTGTAGCTCAAGATGTCTTGGAATGTACTATGTAGTCCAAGCTGGTCTCAAACAAAAGCAAATCCTCCTGCCTCAGCCTCCTGAATATTGAGATTACAGGTCTGAGCCACCGTATCCAGCTTGCTCATCTTACTTTGCTCATCAGGTGTAACTTATAATTCTTGTCATTATTTTTCTGTTTGTTCATCTTAGATATTGCTCGAAACACCTTAATTCTAGAGGGCTGGTGACATCCCAGAACACGGGCTTGAAGGTGTCTACTCCCTACCCTTAGGTAGGGCTCATACAAATATCAGTGGGAAGAGGCAGAAGGCTGTACACAGTGCAGCCCCAGACAACGGGGAGCATCTGGGAACATGCTATGCTCACACTTCACTGTACTCCAGGCCCTTAGAAGAAGTGGGAAAAGCATACAATTCCATAATCTCCAGCTGGTCTCTGAGCATGGACTCAAGAATAAGAATTTCAATACAAGGAAATCCAGCTGATTCTCAGCTTCTGGCAGGCAGTTGTCAGTGGCAGATGTCCAGGATGTTAAGTAATAGTCACTTTTCATGAAAACACTTAGCCAGAGCAACTTAAGACATGGCTTCACATATCCTAGCCCGTTACGTCTTTGAACATGGCTACATAGAATGGAATGTGAGACTTAACACATTCTGCAGTAGGTACGGGGGCCCCTTCAACACGAACCTTAAATCTAGAGCAGACCAACCTGAGCACTGCCTTCCTTAGGCTCCAAATGGAAAACTCAGTGTAGCCAAATCTGCTCCACATCCAAGGCCTGAGATAATATCTAACGCATCTATGAGTGGAAGAATACGGTACAGAGCTCCTGATGGTAACTGATGCCTTTTGTTTTCTTTCTCTTGCTTTCATATTATTGGCTAGTTTATTTATTTATTCATTCATGCATTCAGAGAAAAGGTCTCATGTAGCCCAGGCAACCTTAAACTGGGTGTGTACCTGAGAAGAATGACCTTAAGATTTTTTGTTTGTTGTTTTCCCGAGACAGGGTTTTCTGTAGCTTTGGAGCTTGTAGTGGAACTTGTTTTTGTAGACCAGGCTGGCCTCGAACTCACAGAGATCCCCCTGCCTCTGCCTCTTGAGTGCTGGGATTAAAGGATTGCGCCACCACTGCTCAGCTAGATTTTCCCCTCCAAAACAAGGTCTCACTATGTAGTCCTAGCTGGCCTGGTACTGGAATTCAGTATGGAGACCAGGCTGGTCTTGAACTCACAAAGATCTACCTGCCTGTGCTACTATGCCTGGCTCTTCCTTTTTCTCTTAAGAGCTTCTCACAAAGTTCCTTTCAACCAATATGAACTGTAGTCTGAAGCCCTGTGTGTTTTATGATATCATGAAAATGCAGTGAGCCATAACTTGTGTTTATCATGCACAGGTAACACAAATGGTAAACATGCTAGGGCTGGTGTCTTGAATTCTTGAGGAAGTACAAAAATGTAACATCTCTGAACCTTATTTACATATTTATTTTCTCTGCACAATTTGTATGTGCACAATGGCTTACAGGTGGTGGTCAACTATGTGGGTCCTGGGATAGGAGCTGGGCTGCCAGGCTTGGCAGCAAACACCTTTCTGTGCTGAGCTGTCTTGTCAGCTCAGCGTCTCTAACTTCTTGAAACATTGTGCCAATACTCCATCTGATGTAGAAAAGCAGAAATGAGAGGACCATTATCGTCTTTCAACAATTCCATAAAAGACAGGTTAGGAGCACTGGCTGCTCTTGTAGAGGACCTGGGTTCAGTTCCCACCACCCACATGGTGGCTTATAACTATCGTTAACTCCAGTTCCAGGATAGCTGATACTGTCTTCTGACCTCGTTGTGTACCAGGAACATACATATAGGCAGAACAAACTCTCTCTTTCTCAAGTCCCAGTCCTCCAGACTGCAGCAGGTGGTAAGGTAAGAGAAAGCAGGAAAAGCAATGATGACCAACAAGAGCCTGTTACTCTATACATACCCTCCGTCCTCTGGTCTAGGTCTCTCATGAGCTGAAAGTTTCTCTGTAATTCAAACGGGAGGTTTTCAATACCTGCAAAGACAGAGAAATACAGTTTCTAGACTACACAGGTCTTGGGAAGTGCTCTACCACTGAGTTATATCCCTGGCCCTAGAGCTCCTTTTAAAATAAAGTTTAAGCTGGAAGTGGCAGGAAACAGACGAAGTAGGAACTCAAGTCAGCCTCAGCCACATAGGGAATTTGAAGTCAGTCTGGGTTACGTATGATATTGTCTGGTTTTTTTTTTTTTCGAGACAGCCCTTAGCTATCTTGGAATTCACTGTGTAGACCAGGCTGGCCTCAAACTCACAGAAGTCCAACTACGTCTGCCTCCTGAGTGCTAGGGTTAAAGGTATGAGCCACCACACCTGGCTTAAGATACTGTTTTAAAAGACAAACCAAAATAGGACAAGTAACAAAATAAACAATAGACAAAAGTAAAGTTCAGGGGCTGGAGGGATGCTCAGTGGGTAAGAGCACCACTGGCTGTTCTTCCGGAGGACCAGAGTTTGGTTTGCAGCATCCATGTTTACAAGTGCCTATGATTTCAGCTCTGGGGGGGGGGGGAAGACAGTGCTTCTGGCTTACAAGGTTATGTGCATTTACGTGTGTACACAAAGACAACACCCACACAGATGCATATTTAAAAATTATGCATTTTTCCCTCATTTGAAACTGGATTTTTTTTCTTTTGGTGACAGGGTCTCTGTAGCCTAGGCCGGCCTCAAACTTGTCTAGCAGGCCAGGATGACCAACAGTGAATTTCTGATTCTTTGTCTATCTACCTTCCAAGTGTCCTGTGTCAATATGCCAGGCTTACAGTGTTGGGGGTCAAACCCAGGGTCTCCTGCACGTGAGGTAGGCACATCCCAGCCCTGATATGATGGACTTACTTATGAGGGATTCCTTTGCCCTTTCTCAAAAGAGAAGACTTGCCTCTCTTTTTCAATACCTTCTCTCTGTATAGCCACCCCATGCCCTTCATCTTTGGGGACATTCTACACACCAGTTTTCCCTTTGTCTTCAGTTTCTGCCTCCATCTTCTTTGCCCTCGGCGTTCGAGAGCGACCCTAGCTCCTTTGGCACTCGTCATGCACACTGCCTTCCAGGAACTCCTCGTGGCTTGTGCCCTGCACTTCCTCCCTGGCTTATCTCACTCGGTCACACTCCCTCTGCTTGCTCTGCTCTGGCTTCCACAGTGCCTCACCTTCCCTCGAGCTCCCCGAGAGCTCACCTACTCAGTTTCTGCTTATTCTTCAAAGTTCAGCCCAGAACCCGACTTACCCAGACTCTGATAGGCTGTCAAGGTAGTCTAGCGAATACTTTTAGTAGTTATTCAACCATAATTAAATAAAATAGGGACTCCGTGTCTGTCTCCCTAACCTTCCAGGACTGCAGCAAGTTTTAATTTCCCTCATGTTTAGAACTGTCATGTATATAAAGTGCCCAGCAAGATACTTGAAGAAAATAATAAAATACATTATTAGCCAAGCCTCCCCATAGAAGCAAAATCTCTTCCTATTACTTTACCTCATTCTTTCCCTTTTGGTGGTGGTGAATACTGAACCTCAAACCCAGGGGCTTGTACTGGCTAGGCAAGTGTTCTACTGTTAGATTTTTTTTTTTTTTTAAGGGATGGTCTCATTATGTAGCCTTGGCTGGCCTAGATCTCACTATATAGAACAGGCTGGTCTCAAAGTCTGAGAGCTTCCAAAATGCTGGGATTAAAAACACGTGCCACAGCCGGGCGGTGGTGGCGCACGCCTTTAATCCCAGCACTTGGGAGGCAGAGGCAGGCGGAACTTTGTGAGTTCAAGGCCAGCCTGGTCTACAAGAGCTAGTTCCAGGACAGGCTCCAAAACCACAGAGAAACCTTGTCTCAAAAAACCAAAAAAAAAATAAATAAATAAATGAAAACATGCCACCACACCCACCCACACTTTTAAAGTGTTTCCATGAAGCCAACTCAAACTTTAAAAATGTTTCTACTATCTAATCTACATGGGAAGTAGAAAAAGACAAGATTTCCTGAGTAAATTGGGAGCATGGGGACCTTGGGAGAGGGTTGAAGAGAAGGGGAGAGGCAGGGAGGGGAGCAGAGAAAAATGTAGAGCTCAATAAGAATCAAAAAAAATTAAAAGTTTCTACTAAGTCAGGCATGGTGTCACATGCTAATAATCTTAGCACTGGGAAGATGGAAAGAGGACCTGGAGTTCAAGGTCATCCTCAGCTATGTCTCAAATTTGAGGTCAACCTGGGCGACATTAGACACTGGAAAAACAACAAAAAGGTTTTGAGACAGGGTTTCCTCTGTAGCTTTGAGGCCTGTCCTGGAACTAGCTCTTGTAGACCAGGCTGGCCTCGAACTCACAGAGATCGGCCCGCCTCTGCCTCCCGAATGCTGGGATTAAAGGCTTGTGCCACCACTGCCTCGCTCAAAAAGGTGCTTCTACTGTCTGAACTTCTCCAGTCGGCCGACATCAAGTCACGAGGATTACTTTAAGTCACCAACAGATTGCCAAATCAAACGACCCTTCTTTTGTCTTCTTCTAAAGAAAATCTGAGGCAGCTGGTACTATCTTTTCATTCAAGTGACTTACTTCCTCCTAGTATTGCAAATATTAAATCATAGACCTTCTGGTAACACTGGTCTTGTATCCTTTAAATACTGTTTTCTTGAGATTTTGTTTCTCTTAGTTCCTCACTGTCTTTTCCCTGAATAATCTTTGTCATAGACTTTATGCCTATGTCTAAGGCAAAAAATAAATACATTGTTATGACGCCTGAATCGCCTACCCTGCTGATATGGTTTATCTTATTTTCCAAGCAGAACAATTTACCTTGATTTTTTCTAGTCTCTTAATCACGAAGTCATTCAATCAATCTCGTCATGTTTAATATCTATTTATTTATTTATTTTTTGTTTTTCGAGACAGGGTTTCTCTGTGGTTTTGGAGCCTGTCCTGGAACTAGCTCTTGTAGACCAGGCTGGTCTTGAACTCACAGAGATCCGCCTGCCTCTGCCTCCCGAGTGCTGGGATTAAAGGCGTGCGCCACCACCGCCCGGCCATGTTTAATATCTAAAACTTTATGGCTTGCATTTCTGACTTGGACTGTTACCATAAACTGATCAGTTACTTTCCTTTATTAAAAATACTCTATTTTAAGCTTCAAACATCTTAGTTTTGCATAAAAGACTGTTTAATCCACTTCCAGTTTATTTCTCACTTTCCAGTCTCTCAACACACACTTCATTTTATGAGAACTGGATTTTGTTCAAGTAAAGCACTCCAGTTTAATAACTCAAGCGGTCGTTTCACTCCGTCCACCTTAGTTTCATGAGAAGCCACTGTGGAGACATAATGACTGAAGGAGACAAGCTGTTCCAAATGGTAGCGAATGACAATGGCCCCGCACAACTTGGGAGGAAAATAAATCTATCCCGAGGCCAGGGACCCTCAAGAACAGAATCAGAAAATACTTTCCCTGCTACCCCTAATCCTTCAAAACACAGTTCTGAGCCTACCGGACAGCCCAGCCCTTCCCTCGTCTACAGCATTAGCGAGGCCTCTATTGCCACTCCCCCGCCCCCTCCTTCTTCACCCTCGAATAAATCCTCCCACGGAAACCTTTCCCAACTGTGAGCTTCAGGCCACTAGGACCTCAAAGCCATAGACTCTGTCAACCCGGACCCCCCACACCACTCTGTGACCCATGATCCCCTTCTTCAGTCAGATCTTACTGTCCAGATAATGTTCCAAATACATCCCAGCAGCCATCTTGAAGCAAAACAAAGCAACTTCCGATCCGCCCCGGAAGTGACTAAAACAAGACAGGCACTAGATCCATTCTCAGATTACAGCCTTTCCGTATTTAAAAGAACTTCCGCCCTTACTAAAATATTGCCCCAGAGACATCCGCCCGACAATGAACGGTTGCCCACAACGAGGCTGCTTTAGCCTGCTTCCGCCCTTAAGACGCCCGCACGTTACGCACAGGTATGACATCACGCGAGGTCGCCATTTTGCATTCCCTAGCAAACTTTTCTCCCCTTCAAATGAGCATGTTTGATAAATGGGGAAGAAACAGCTATCTAGAATTATATTCTATAAACACCCCCTTTCAGCCAGTAGGGAACCTAGCTATTTTGCTTTGCTTATTTTGAATTTGGTAATCAAAGCTGAAGCAGGTATGATCTGAGGCAAATACTTTCTTCCGAAGTTGTCAGGCTTTGTAAAGGATTTCCTTATGTAGCCCTGGCCATCTTCAAACTCAGGTATCTGCCTGTCTCTCTGCCTCGCGAATGCTGGGATTAAAGGCATTTGCCACCACACCTAGCTAAGGTTCCTGTTTTATATACTCAACGTACTTTTACATAGAACACAACACGCACTGGTTTTGCAGTTGTGCTGTTAACGGGAGAACCCACGTTTTTGTTTTGTATTTTATGTATGATGTTAACATGATTCTGAAAGAACTGGGTCATTAAGTTTTATGACAGCTAGACCACCTAGACGTCACCCATCCCCTTGTTAAAACTAGCATCCATTGTACAAAAGCCAGAGCTTGGCAGGCTGCTACCTTAGGGAAACAAACTCAAATCCCATAATGTAATAGTGGCAATATATTCTTCAAGAATCTATCTTGTTCATGCATCTTTCACAGTAATTACACCACACAGCTTTTTTTTTTTTAGGATAAAATTTTAGCTTCCTTAGAGCAAATATGTAAAAAAAAAAAAAATGGTGGCTCACTACCGAGCAGATGCTAACGCACAGGAGTAGGATGTGGACTCCATTCTAATTACAAGAGCATGCTGTTGGGATAACTGAAGCTCTGCCCACTCCTCTCTATACAGTGAGTAGCAGTAGGCAACATTATCACTGGGTGGGACTGGGAATGGACATTCACCTACAAAGGTACTTATTCCCATTCTTGTGATGAAAACAGGGCTGACAGAGACTCAGCAGTCAGCGAGAGAAGGAAAAGCATCAAGAAGCTAAGCAACAATGGCAAGCTGAGAACTGTCCTAGAGGTCTAGTCACAAGCTGAGTCAACTCCCTTTTCCACAGCACTAGGTAGACTGTGGGTCAGTTCTCAGGTCTGAGAACTTCTGTCAACTTTCTCAGTACTGTATCAGACTTAATCTTCATGAAGCCGTCTTGGAAATTAGGCCGAATCCTTTCATGGTGGACTGTGAGGAGCCTTGGTCATGCTCTGTCCAGTACAACTGTCTTCCACTGTGAGGTGAGCACGATAACCACCGTGTTATAGAAGCTCACTGCATTTTGCATTCTCTTCAGTCCTAAGCCCAGTAGCTGGCTATGGTTTCCTTCACTGGAAACCTCTGGTCTTAGGCACTGCAGTCTAATAACACATACGTGTGTGTACACATGCCCAGTAGAATTTGGACAATAGGGAAGGCACAATTAGTGCAGGTCCTTTGAAGAGGCCATACTTCCCCCACCCCACCCCTTTTTTTGATGGTGTGGAGGACAAAGGGTAAGGAATATAAGCTGTTTTGTTAAACAAAACCTTGCTCTCACATATGTAGGCAATGCAATCCCGATGGCAGAATTTATACACAAATGTTCCTAAACCTAAAATGGCTGGAGAGTCACATGGAGGCTTATCATACAAGCATTCACTCTTCACACATTCGTTTCCATCCTTAATACTGTCCTAGTATCTCCCCAAACAGTCTTTTCCCATGCTAGCTTACATCAGTAGCTCACTGCTCTCATCCTTAAACATGAATTTATTTCTATACAATGTTCTAAAAACACCCCTTAGTTTGTACATAAGATTTTTTTCATTTTTAAATTGCTTTATAACAACTGTATAATTCCTGATTATTTTAACTTTCTTTTCTCTGAAATCTGCCGTGATTAAAAAAATTAAAAGGTAAAAGAAAATCAAAATGCCATGGCCAGAGGACAAAGTGGAGAAAAATAAGACAAAAATAAAACATCAATATGAAAATTCTCAGAGATAATGCATTTATAAACACAGAAATGGTTACAACAAAGATGGCCGTGATGAGCAGGTATATATATATATACTTATATATATATATATATATTTATATATAAATCCATGTCCGGCATCTGACCGTGGCACCTAGGGAGCTAAGTCCAGTCCTTGTATGTGCCCTGACTTCTCCCTTCTCTGCAATACCCTGGCTGGGGTTTTACAAAGAACATAGCTCCCATAGCTCCTTGGACTGGTGTGGTGAGGCAAAGTATATAGGCCCTTGGTTGGCAGAGAAGGAGGCTGCAAGGAAAAACATTACCCACACTCTTATAACCACCCTTGGTCACCTGGAGAGTCTCTGGCACCTTGGTGACCATGTATTGCCTACTGGCCTCCTTACAAATAAAAAGGTAGTCACCACCCAATATGAAGTGAGACCATGTAAGGGAAAGAAAATGGCTCACAGGGGTCAGGCCACGTGCAAAACCTGTTCTTTTACAGGTAAGCGTAGAACGGAAGGTTGGTTGCATTTAGAGCTTCCTTCTGTATTATCTGGGAGGACCAGCCGCTAGCCTTCTATCGGCCCCAACTTTGAGGATGAGAAGAGAGGAAGGTAAGTGCCCACACTGGACAAGATGTGAGGCCAGAGCAGATCCTCTCTCAAGCACCAACCCCCAGTCTTAAAGCTCTGCTTGGATGGGGCTGTTGGGTAACACTATCAGCTCAGGATCCCTTTGTCAATCAGGAGCAGCTGAGATTAAGGATGGTTATCTTGCGAAGGAAGCCATGCCTGAGGACCAAGGAGCTGGAGACAGGACTTGTCAAGGAAGAAGAGAACTTTCCCACCAAGAGGAGTTGACAAAGGAGGGACCAGAACTACTTCTCCCTCTTTCCAGTGGATGGCAGTAAGGATCTCTAAGAGCTGGCCAGGTGCTCCACCTGGATGGTGCTGGTGGTGACGGTGAGGCAGATGTCTTTATGATGCTCTGCCGTCTTATAGGGGGTCAGGTCAAAGGAACACTGGGGTGGAGGGTTCGGGTTGCTGTCCCCACCACCCCCACCCTGGGGAGCTCCCCCAGGTGACTGGAAGTGTGGTGGTTGTGGTGGTGGAGGCTGTTGTTGCTGCTGCTGCTGCTGCTGTGATGCCTGGGAAGCCTGGGCCTGAGCCTGAGCCTGAGCCTGGGCCTGGGCCTGGGCCACTGCTGCTGCTGCTGCCGCCGCTTGCACTTGTTGCTGAAGATCAGGAGGGTTGTGTTTGCGCATGTGTTTCATAAGATATGTTTCCTGAGAAAGACAGCAAAAAGAAGTTAAAATGAAAGGAAGGGAAAGACATGAATGGCAACTACCACCATGCACCCTCACTGTCATGTCTATAAAGGGATGTTCTGGAGCCTGACCCTCACTGTCATGTCTATAAAGGGATGCTCTGGAGCCGGACCCTCACTGTCATGCCTATAAAGGGATGCTTTAAAGCTGGACCTTTAAAAATCACCATGGACACCGAGCTGGTAGAGAAAGTTATTTTTCTCAAAGGTCTCCTTAGTAAAGCCATTTGATAATCTTGTTCTAGAATCTCATAAAAAATATCTGAAACCTTTTTTCATCACAAAACCTTGCCTTATGTGTCTAGAATAAAGAATCACTGCTTATGGTGCTAATTATCTCTAAATACTGACTCTAATAAGTGAGAGCAGGGGCAAGCACATGTGGAGCTATTCACAAAAGATTTCCATCAAAAAGGGACTCAGACATGGGAAGAGAAAATACCAAGCACTTACTGATGTGTATGCCCGACTACAGATTGTGCAGGTATACACCTTGGCGTGCTTCACCGTATGTGTAGATAAGTGAGCCTCTAGTGAGGCTGCATCTGTGTACGCTCGGTGACAATTGTGGCACTTGAAGGGTTTGTCTTTGTTGTGCTGCCTTCTGTGAGACTGCAAACAAATGAGAGAAACCAAAATGAATACTGTTCCTTCCTTGGCCTTTATGGAGAGAGAGCCCTGAGGTAAGCACAGGATATCCTAGCTTCCCGTTCTAGAAGGCAGTAGAGCTGCTTTGAGTGAAACTGCCAAGAGAGGAGCTGTATCTCACAAGGCATACAACCAAGGTTCTAAAAGTTACAGTGACTTACACCTACCTGGTCTCCCTCTTCCAGTGGCTCTTAAAGTGAGGTTTGGGATTCCCCAACCCTTTACAGGGCCTCACAGAATAAAAATTCTTCAAAATAATAAGACAAGGACCGAGGAGAAGGGTCAGCAGGTGGAGCGTTTGCTGTGCATTAAGAACCCTGCTTGAGATCCTAAGTATCCACGGAAGGGCTGGATGTGATGGGGTGCTGTGCAGGGGCAGGAATGAGGTTCCCAAAGGTTTACTGGTCTAGGCAACTATGGTGAAGTCTAGCTGTGGTAAAGCACAGTCTCAAGAAGGTACAGACCCTCAGGTGTTACCTATGCTCATGCACAAATAACCATGACATATCTACACAAGTAAAATACAAGCGTTTGCCTTTGCACTCTTGTTCTTTCATATTATAGACTATCAGATGAAAGAACATGTTCACTTTTAGCCAAGCAACAGATTGAAACTTGCAAAAATCCTGGGCATAACAGCACATACCTACAATCCTAGCACTTAAAAGGCTGAAGAGTTAGGATGGGAGGTCCCAACGCCAGCCTGAGTTACACAACACACCATTTAAGTATAAAAAAATCAGGTGGGTCCCAGCACTCGGGAGGCAGAGGCAGGCGGATCTCTGTGGGTTCGAGACCAGCCTGGTCTACAGAGCTAGTTCCAGGACAGGCTCCAAAGCCACAGAGAAACCCTGTCTTGAAAAACCAAAAAAAAAAAAAAAAAAAAAAAAAAAAAAATCAGGTGGGTGGTGGTGGCACACGTCTTTAATCCCAGCATTTGGGAGGCAGAGGCAGGTTAATCTCTGTGGATTTGAGAGCAGCCTGGTCTACAGAGTGAATTCCAGGAGAGGCTCTAAAGCTACACAGAGATACCCTGTCTTAAAAAACTAAAACCAAACCAAAACCAAAAACAAACAAGAAAAATCACAAGGGTTGGGTATGTTGCTCAGTGGTAGAGGTGCTTGCTTAGAGTGGGCTGTGGAAAAGAAAACTGTAAAATGTGAAATAATACCATTTTCCCATTAAGTTCCTTTAGTGGGATTTGGGAATAATTGTTTTCTATTAATGCTAACATGTAATTGGTTTATATATTGTGATTGCTTTTTTGTTTTCTGAGAGGTTTTCATGGAGCTCAGGTTGTCACTGGATTTTAAACATTTTTATGGGCATATTTGTAGAGACGCCTGGGCAGTCAGAGGGCACTGGGTTCCTGGAGTTGGAGTTATATGTTGTAGAACAATCCTCTTGTACAGTATGAATATGTATTACTCTCAATGGCTAGTAAAAGCTGATTGGCCAACAGACAGGCAAAAAGTATAGGCTTGGTGATCAATTGAGGATACAGGAAGAGAGAAGAGTGGAGTTAGAGAGCCAATGGGGGATAGAGAAGTAATGAACAAGCCCCTAGGTTTTCAAAAAATTTCTGGGTGTATGTTCAGGTGTACATGCATGTGGAGGCCAGTGATAACTTTGGAATCATTACTCAGGAGCCACCCACCTTGTTTTCTCAGAGATGGTCTCTCATTGGTCTGGGGCTAGCCAATTTGGTTAAGTTGGCTGTTTGGAGAGCTCCAAAGAGCTGCCTTTGTCCACTTTCCCAGTGCTGGGATAACAAGCACATACCAAAACTACTAGTTTCTGTTTTTTGAAAGTAGGTTCTAGGGATCAATTTCACACCTTCATGTTTGTGGCAAGCACTTTATTATCTGTTGGGGAGCTAACTTCCCAACCCTTTTATTTTTTTTTTTTTTAAATTGAGACACTATTATTAAGTTGCCAGAACTGATCTGAACACATTTTGTACCATAGGCAGGCTTTGAACTTTGGATACTCTGCCTTTGCCTTCCAAACAGCTGGGATCAAAGGCTAGCAGGCCCAGCTTCATCTCAGTAATTTTAAAGAGAATTTAGTTCTCCGCCAAATGTCAGTCCCAAGTCTTAAACCCAAGGTCGTATGTGGAAACCAGATACTCACCTGTAGATTGGAGAGTTGTGTAAAGGCCTTCTCACAGCCTGGGTGTGCACATTTGTACGGCCTATCACCGGTGTGGATTCTGCACAGAAGAGAGTAAGGACGTCAGCAAAGGTCACAAAGACCAGCTCCGCACCAGACCACAGGCTCTTCAGGTTTGCCTCCTGAGGAACCTGCATGAGGCACTAGCTTTAGCTCCTCTGACCTGGAGTGGTTTTAGAGCCTGATTTCTGGTTATTGCCTGTAGCACTCAGCTCAAGGAGAGCCTCATTGTGCTGGTAGAAGAGCGACTGAGGCCTCAGCATCTAGGACACAGGTCATGATTTGGTACATATATCTGCTCCTATAGTAACCATCCCGTGGTGAATATTCAGAAATAAAAAGTAACTACAATTGTAAGAAAAAAGAAAAATACACAACATTTCCTCCTTGGTCCCCACCCTACAGACAGAAACAGTCCCTTCAACCTTGAGCATCATAGTCAGAGATAGTTCTGAAATCAAAGGACAGGTTATAATGACTGTTGAAAGTAGAAGAGACATTAGTGGAAACTCATGGAAATTCCTAGGGATTCCCCCACCTCTCCTACCCCCCTGCAATCTAAGCCCCTAATGACAGGAAATCCTGAAGTTAGAATCACTCTAACCTCTTCCCCAATACCACAGGACCCTATATTTACTAAGACAAGCCCAGATGTGAGGATGCACCAATTGTTTCTTTTCAAGGACTTCAGAACTGTCTCTACGATCAAAGTCTCAAATATACGATGACAGCAAGCTCCTCAAGGCTGTGTCTGACTACTTTTGGGTAAGAACATCACATTCACAAGAAGCAGGGTGAAGATAGCCAACTGCCAGGAGTCTGGACTCCACTTCGTCTTGAGACATCACTGAAGGAAACCGTCAGCTCTTCGAGTGTCAGACCCCCTTCTCCTTAGAGACTCCGTATTGATGGATTCGATGCAAGCATCCTATTTATGAAGCAGGAGCTTCTTTAGTCTGTTCCCAGTTCTTGTTGAATGTTTAGTTCAGTTTCCCTTTGTGCTCTACTCTTGGCAGCCCTTAGAATCTTGCTTGTTGCTGTTGAGTGTATCCAGGCCGATGCCAACTTAAATCTGATCATATCTCCCACTCATAACTGGTGTCTTGAGGCTAGAGGTAGGTCTTCTAAAACCAAATGTCTCTGTTTCAGCACCAAAGAAGAAATCTGGTAAGATGTGTGCTTGGTATTTTCAGGGAGAAAAGTGAAGGAAATCGTCTTCTTTGTTTTGAGTTTCTCTCTGTCTTTAATCAATCAAGAAATACAATCACTGTGTCTTTTTGATAGAGTTCGTGCTCCAGAAAGGCTCTCTTGGCATCCACTTCTTTTCTGTTGCGGTCACATTCTCCTCCAGCCAGGTCTCACTCCCGCCCCCCCGCATGCGGGTGGTTGTATGTGTCCGGGGCGGGGGTGGGGAGGGCATGCCAGCGGGGCGGGATCAGTAGCCCGCCCCTCTCCCTTACCGTGTGTGCTGCTGGAGGTGGGAGAGCTGGCGGAAGGCCTTCTGGCAGTAGGAACAGTTGTAGGGCTTGGCCCCCGAGTGGATACGGAGGTGTTGAGCCAGGTAGGAGGTGTTGGCGAAGGTCTTGGAGCAGTGTGGGCACTTGTGGGGCTTGATGGTCTCCGTGTGCATCTTGGAGTGGATCCTGCCGGAGAGGAGAGGAGGGAAGGGGGGAGGAGGAAGCAGTTCGACACCATGGGCTCAGCGCTCTGCTGGGTGAAATGATGTTGCTTGACGGATGAGAGCACCCCCTCCTCCCTCCTCCCAATAAAGCTCCGGCTGGAGAGGCTAATGAAGAGGACACCCACGTCTAGGTTGTTGCTGACTGCAAGTCGGTGGCTAGAATGGCAGTGAGATGATGAAGAGCTGCAACCCACGGCTCTCGGTAACCTTACAGTATTCGGTCTTGTCAACCCTCGGCCTTTTCCTAAGGCTGCACACTCACCACAGTTACCCTGTTTCCAAATAGCAATTTGAACATAGGCCAATACCGCCTGTTCCCCTGGACCTGAAGTTGAATGCACACCATGGCTCTGAACTGAAGCATATAGTAAAAGCAGGGTCTGCTCTGTAGAGGATTTCCAAACAGACACAGAGAGAAACCACAAAAATTGTTCCAGAGTTGGGGACTGGAAATAACAATTTTCAAGGCCCCCCCACTGCTAGGATACAGTTTAATTTTCAGACAGTAACAAGAGAGATTAAGATTTCAAAAGGCAAAAGAGAGAACAGTTGGCACAGGCCACATGGTCTTGGGTGTTTTGGAGCCAGGCGAGGGGAGGAGCAACCTTACCGGGTGTGCTGCTGCAGATGGGAGAGCTGGCGGAAGGATTTCTCACAGAAGTTACAACTATAGGGCTTGGCCCCCGAGTGGATACGGATGTGCTGGGCCAGGTAGGAGCTGTTGGCAAAGGTCTTGGAGCAGTGCGGGCACTTGTGGGGCTTGGTCTCCGTGTGTGACTTGGAGTGGATCTGCATCTCCGACTTTGAGTAGAAGGTCAGTGAGCACATCCGGCACCTGGCCAAGCAAGGGTAACATTAGAGCTTTCCACCAGGAGGCGCTGCTGAGCCTCACAATCCTGCCAAGAGACTTCTACCTGACCCCATGTCGAGTTCCAGCTACATAGTGAGGCTTGTAAAAGCTTTTCCTTATTCCTCTTTTCTTTTCAAAGAAAGGGTCTCATGCAGCTCAAGCTGGCCTTGAAATCATTATGTAGCTCAGGCTGGCCTTCAACTCATGACCCTCTTATTTCTTACCTCCCCAAACTGGGATTATAGCTATGTGCCTCCATGCCCAGCCTAACACAGTGCCAAGCACTCAGAAATACCCAATAAGACAGGTAGATATTATGATCTGTGGTTCTCAACCTTCCTAATGCTGTGGCCCTTTAATACAGTTAGTTCCTCATACTGTGGTATTTCATTGCTACTTCATAACTGAAATTTTGCTACTGCTATGAATCGTAATGTAAATATCTGTTTTCCGATGGTCTTAGGTGACCCCTGTGAAAGGGTTGTTTGGGTTGTGTGACCCCCAGAGGGGACACAACCCAGAGGTTGGCATTCACTGATGTAGACTTTATTGGCACAGCTAAGGTTTCAAACCTTTCACGGTACTCCTAGCACTCCATGTTGGTCTCATGACATTCTCAAGCCCCTCCCCGCCATGCAATAAAGAAGGAAAACAGCATCTGCAGACAACCGTCTTCTTAGTGATTTTCCCTACTTCCTTATTACAGTGACTGCTAAAGAGATGGAGATGGAAAGTACCAAAATTTCCTAATCCATATCTGGTCTCTATCTTGTAGCTGATGTTTCATTAATCACCTGCCTCTGCCCCCAGCCTCAAGCCAATCAAATGAGAACCACTTTTAAAACAAGCCAAGGAAATGGTTAGTACTGGATTATAATCCTTAAATCTTAACGAGAATAAAAGAATTGAAAAGCAATGACCGCAATGCTACACCTTTCTTTTCCTTAGCACATGAAGCCAATGCTGGCACCTGAATAGAATCTTACTGGTCACCTGAACCAGTGGATCACTCCTGCTCTGACACTACACAACAATATCAAATGAGCCCCATCCCCTTAGACTTTACTGAGTAACAGTTATTTATACATGAGTTAGGAACAGCTTTGCCATGGCACACTATGAGTGAGCAGAAAAGGAGGTGGCCTGGAAGCCAGACCACTAGGGTAAGCTGCTCTTCTCTTCACCTTATCTTTGTAAATCAAAGGGTATGGGATAATGATTCTTGCATTCTTTTCAGAAGAATTTTGAAAATAGCTGAGACCAAGACTAGAACAAATTCCCTCTGAGAAAATGGTATTGCTGTTGTGGTCTCTGTACTAATGCTTTCACTAAAACTCTAGTAACTGATAACCAATTTTCATTCTCTACTTACTGTATGTAAGTCTGAAGAAAAGACTCCCAGTTTATCAGTCATTGGCTATAGACTGAGACACCCAAACATTGCAGGAAAGATCATCATGGTCAAAAGTAAACAGTCAATGGGGAATCTAGATACCTGGGCTCTAATCCAACAGAGTTAGTTACAGGTTGCCTGTTAACCTAGACTGTAGTCTTTTATTCTTTAAAATAAAGATATTAATTTTGCCTCTAGAAGGGCCAGCAAGCACCCAGGACCACCAAAGGTAAGCTAAATGTTCTTTATTAATAAAATGGCATTACTGCTAACAGCCTCAGTTTTGATGGGAGAGCCAATGACAACACAAATGTTTTATAAAGACTGCAGTTAACAATTGGACATAATTCCACTTATAAGACACAAGTGCAAAGTAAGTTCCTTAGATAACTAAAATTTTGCAGATTTTACAGTGTTGGGGCTTGAACCTAGGCCTTGCCACATACCAAGTGCTCTACTAATGAATTGTATCCTCGGCCCCAAGACATTTTAATTCAAGTATTAAATTTAATTAATATATTTTAATTCAAATCCCATCACCCTTGAAGTTCATTATGAAAGAGAAAATGATCCCGGCACTCGGGAGACTGAGGCAGGTCTGTGATGGGCTTGTATTCTAGCCTGAGCTACAGTGAGAGCCCTATGTTGAGGAATCAGAAGAATATCTTCAAAGCTTTAATTAGAGAAGAATCTGAGAAACTTAACTGAAAATAGACTGGCAAACTGGGTACAATGGTACATGCCTGTAACCCCAGCACTCAAGAAGTAGAAGGCAGGACAATCCAGAGTTCAAGGCCAGCCTGGGCTGCATGTGACCCTGTCTCAAAACAAAAGAAAAGACTGGCAATAGAATAACAAGTCTAAAAAGATCCTAGGGCCTAACGGCAATGCCAGTGACAATGGTCAGGAGGCCATCATGAGGCAGCTTGAGAATGACAGGACAGGGGAGGTACTTTCAAGCACCTTTGTTTCTACTCAGAATAACCTGGCAGGTACTCTCCTAATTCTATAAAAAGAAACCCCCAAAGCTCCAAAAACAATTTGTCAAAGGGCAAGCTATTCACTATAATACCACAATGTTAAGCTAACACCATGGCCTAGAACTAGAAATATACATGCAGAGGCTGAATATCTATCTACCAGGTGAAGGCACTGATCTCAGGTGACCACTAAAGTACAGGCTTTGCCACCCTAATCCAAAAACCTAAAAATCTGAAATCCTCTAAAACTTCCTAAGCAGTGACATCACACTGTAAGTGGAAAATTCTATATGTTACTTTATGATACAGACGGAAGTCAAAACACAGGCTCACTAAAAATACTATGTAAAATTACCATTAGACTACCTATATATAATTTGAAACAAATTAACGTCTTTCTCATTTAAAGCTTGAACATGATTTTACTAAAGTTTAAAAGAAAAACTGCAGGGAAGGCAAGCTTTAAAAAAGCTTGGCAGATGTCTAAAGGAGGAAGACAAAAAAGAAGAAAGCCGTATCTTTGGAGTTAGGCATGAAGGTTCAGCTACAGGAGGGTCTAGCAGTTATACGGGTCGGAGAAACTTCAGAGAAAGAGTGAGCAAGTCCAGAGTGTTAGGAAGAGCCCTCCTAGGCTTGAGCCACTATCTGGAGAGGAAATGTCACACCGACTAAGACCAGCTGACAGACCCAACATCCCACAGCAGCCCCACAGCAGCTAACTGGTTTTGGCTTGAGAGGCTATGTAGACCAGGCTGGCACTGAACTGATCCTCCTGCCTCAGCGTCCTGAGTACTAAATTGCTGGTGTGCTCCAGGTACCACATCCAGCTTAACAAATTTCCATGATCAGACTTGGGCGCCATCCCCAAGGTATCTCATTATGTATGTGCAAATATTCCAAAATTTGAAAAAAAGACAAAGTCTTGACCACGTCTCGACAAGGAATATTTAACCTGTGTTTAAAAACTGGAAGTTCTAGGAAGTCAAATAAGTACTTTACTGTAGGGTGCTGAGTAGTTAGCTGATTCAGGACAGTTTTGGCAGTGGGAAGGGAACGCTAGCCCGTACATCATTTGGTCCACTGCTTCAATGGACACCATGTACATCAGATACAGTGAGAATGGTATGCAATATAATGGCTGGGATTCAACAGTCACTTTGAATTATTATACCAGTTTTTTTTTTCTAAGATGCTGAAAACAATTTAAATGTTCAGATTTCTCCTCAAAATATTTTCACACAGTAGATCTGACTGACCTTCCCATTTATGTAAATGGGAATAAAGACTTCAAGCTAAGTTGACTTGTCCATAGCAACAGCACCTAATTCCTCCAATACCCAGCCATGCTACTGACAACTGGGAAGAAGTAGTTGACGTACAATACACAAAAATCAGGATTATTTTTTTTAAGTTCAACTGCATAGTAAGAAAGTCAGGATTCTTTGTGATTTGGAAGATTCCTCTGGATTTTAGAATTTTAAGTTTCTGATGGAATTTTTTTCAACTAGGACATAATTAGTCAGAGTTCAACTTCAGGGTTCCCTTTAAGAAGTATAGGGGCGTTCAAGAATTTCAAAAACACAGAAGGTCAGAAGGTCCTAGAAGGCGTCCTTCCAACTATGTACTCACAATTCTTTGTGTACATATACATGTATATATTCATACAGAGTTGGGGAACTTAGCATGGAGAAAAAAAATTAGCTTGGCAGAACTGAGGACCCTCGTCAACCAGAAGGGTTGCCTCCACTACTTCAACATGGTATATAAATGCATCTCATGTCACAATGACCTCACTTTAAGCAAATACATTTAAAAAAAAAAATCCAGGTATCTACACAATCAAGTAATAAGGGATTTTCATTTCAACTGATATAATAAAAGAATGCCTTTAAATGAATCAAACTTGTCAGGTACCTTTATAATATGGTATGATGTAAACATTTTCCAGGAACACTTATTGTATAAAGTGGGGTACACCTGTAATAATAAAGCTACAATGAACTTCTGAATTACAGCTAGAATTCTGCAGTGCTCAATACATTCTGCATAGCAACACCGCCCTCTTTTTCACGTAGAAAGAGGTATTTAAACAGTGTACTAGTGGATACTTTCCATAGAACTATACAATTCAAGTAAATAATGCTACGTAATGATTAACTCTAATCTTTCTGACCTTCCCAACATGTTAAAAATTATCTATACTCCCAACAAATGGGAGGCATACAAAGAATTCTCCCCATTTTACAGATGAGGAAACTGAGGCGCAGAGAGGGGAAAAGGACTTGCCCAGGGTCACACAGCAAGTTCGTGGTGGAGCCGGGAACTGAATCCATGAGCCCAAGGCTCTGTCCATTTCCTGTGCCGCAGTTCCCTTCGCTCCTAAAATGGGAACAACATTGCCCATCTCGGTACACTAAGGACAGAACCAGTCTCCCAGCCATGCAAATCTGCCCCTGTCTATATACATCAAGGCTGTGATAATAATTAAACCCATTCTGCACATCGGGACCAAGTGTCCAAAACCCACTAGGGACCCTGAAAGTTCTCAGGGAGGTTAAAGTTATTTCCCTGTCTAAGGGCAAGGAGTTTCTCTGTACACAGGGCCACGTGCCAATATGCACGTGCTTTTGTGGAACAACAACGTGAGAGAAAGTGGAGGATCAAAATGACTTCCAGGAGTTAGAAAGGGAGCAAACAAGTCACTTCATAAGTGTGCTATTCCTCCCACCCCAAACCATGCAGGGGCTGATGGATTGCACTGGGTTAGGTAAGATGCTCACCAGAGAGATTTCTTGGAAAATAAGAAACAGAAAGGGAAAAAGGGGGAGCTGCAGACATTGTCTGGAGCCCAGTTGGAAGCCTTATTGCAAGAGAGAAACTCTCCTGTCATTCAAAAATCAGTTAAGAATCATGACATCTGAGTTTTAAAGGGAGGGTGGGCATGGAGGAAGGGGCTAAGCAGCTAAAGTGCCAGCAGCTCCACCTTCCTATCACAGGACACCTGGACATGCAAGTGGCTCTCAGGTGGACAGCTGCTGAGCAGAGCCTGACTTGGGACAGGACCCAAAGAAGATAGGGGAAGCTTGAAACAGTGGCCCTCAACCCATCCTGCCCCTGCTTTGATTCCTACCTGTAGGTCTTGCCATCTTTGTGATGGTCATCGTCGTCATCAGGGGCAAGGACATAAGGGTCATTCATCTCAGGAAGCCCTGATTCCAGCATCCGCTTCTTCTTGCGGCCCCGAGGAGGTTTAGGAGGAGCCACATTGCCACCTCCACCACCACCTCCGCCTCCTTCTTCAGCTAGGGTTGATGCTACCTTCTTGGAGAGGTCAGGGACCACCTGTAGGGCTTGTGAGCCAGGGGGAAGAGCTGAGACAATCATGGGAGCCGATATAGGGAAGGTCTGAGCTGATGACGCTGTGGTCACAAGAGAGCCTGAGGGGGATGTGATTACCAAACCAGGACCTAGGATTGGGAGAAAAAGGAGATAGGGTCATGCTGTTCACCTCTGACCTAATCTATTTCATTTCCCCCAGATAGTGTCTAATCAATCCCTCACCACCACCCTCCAGCCCATTACTATTCAGGAAATCCCAAACCCTGTACAAAAACAATAGTTTGCTAACCCCTGTCCCCAGACCCCTGGTAACAGTGAGATTTACCCCTTGATTGACTCCCTTCTCTTCTCCACCTCTGAGAACAGGAGACTCCTTGATTCAGAGAAGGAAAGAATGTCACCTCCTCAAAGGCAGGGACCGCATCTTCTACTTCTTTGTATCCCCCACAATGCCTAGCACATTGCTAGGCACACAGTAGGCACTTAATAAAAATCTGATTGAGGAATTAAACACATACCCCACTCCCCATGTCCGCAGAGCCCTCCAGACTGGGGTCCTGATCATGAGAGATCAACACCTCAGATTGGAGAGAAGCAAGGGCGCTTACCCGCTGTCATCAGTCCTGTAGATGGCACAGGGACCACAGTAATGTTCTGGGTAACAGATGCCTGACTGTGTGGGGTCAGCTGCTCTGACTTGGACTCTGTGTCCATGCTAATGCCAGAGGACAGGGACACTGAGGCAGGCACTGTCAGCAAAGTGGGATAGTGAGGTGGCGCCAGTCCACAGCCCTTTTCTGGCAATAGCTGATCCTTCATCTTGTTGATGAACATTGTGTTTTCAATCTAAAAGAAAAGGAGGGGGAAGAGGAGTACCCTCTTCAGACTGAGCAGGCTTGATTTTTGTCTGTTCCCTAAGGATGTTTCGTTGCCTTCTCCTTGGAGATCAGGGAACAAGGGGCTGATATCTGCGCTTCTGGACGGGAGTCAGACCCAGACACTATGGGACTCTCAGTGATAGCGGACTCAGTGAAACAAGGTGTGTTTTACTTTGCTTCAGCCTCCATACAGTTAAGAACATCATGAAGAACTTAATTCACAGAGCTGAAATAAATACTGGGAAGAACAAAACAAACACCACTTACCTGCCCTGAGACTGTGGGGATAGATGGCCAGAAGTACGGGTTAGAATTGAAGTGAGACTCTTCCATTCTACCTGAAAAGAGATAGACCACCACCTCACACCTGGGAATAACTACTGAATGCTAGTAATGGAGAAGAGCAGTTGATGGAATTCGGGTCTCTGGCACCTGACCATGTAGCGGGGAATTAACAGTCAGGACCTCACATCTAGACCAGACAAAATGGCACTGGGCTATTAATCTCAGCCCTCAGGACACTGCAGGCTGAGGCCAGTGTGACTACTTATTGAAACATTCTCTAAAAGCAATATATGAATAGAAAGGACCACTGAGCAGTATGGCCCACCCCAAACACAATTTTTGATATTTATGACAAAATCTATGCACATCTCTGAGCCATAAAATGTTTGCCAAACTTCAAAAGGCCAGAATTGGTACTTTACTTTGAAGAGAAACGAAGCTGTGAAAACGAGATGCACCAGGACCATACACAGCCCATCAGTCACGAGCTTGAAAACAGTCATGTTATCTTTCACTGTTCCCCCTTTCCTTAAATCCATTTTCCTCGATTTTTTTTTCCTATTTCCAATCAACAAATCTATGAGCTACAATTCTACATAGCTTGGAAAGGTTTTAGACTGGCAGAAGCCCAAACAATCTGAACAGCCCAAGCTGGGATCAAACTGGTGATCCTCCTACTTTGGCCTCCTGTCTATCTAGGATTATAGGTCGGCATGCACCACCATACCTGGCCTATAATCAATACTGGAATAACGCCACACAAATCTCACCAAGACTAAAGAATAGGATATCTCACTGGGTTACATACACAAAGGGCTGAGCAGAAAGAACCAAGGAATTACCAGTCTAAAAAATTATAAAGAAATATGTATGTGTACACACACACACACACACACACACACACACACACACAGAGTGTATACTCACATGTGCAGGTGCGGTTGGAGGCCAGAAGAGAGAATTGGATCCCCTGGAGCTAGAGTTATAGGTGGTTGTGAGCCACTCAATAAAGTACTGGGAACTGAACTTGGATCCACTAGAAGATAGCACTCTTCAAACACAGACCACCAGTTTTAAAAAGGGGTTCTGGCTAGGTGTGGTGGTGCATGCCTTTAATCCCTGCACTTAAGAGGGGAGATTTCCAGTTAGCTTCAGGTTAGTCAGGGCTAAATAGTGAGGCCCTGAAAGAGTTCTGGGGTCTGAAGAGAGAGACCAGCAGGTAAGGGTTAAGAGCACTTGCTGTTCCAGCCAACACCCTCTTCTGGCTTCTGCAAGGACCCTGAATGGATATGTGCATACATACATTCAAACACATGTACTCTCATGTACAAATAATAAAATGAGCCAGGTGGTGACGGAGCATGCCTTTTATCCCAGCACTTGGAAGGCAGAGGCAGCCAGATCTCTGAGTTCGAGGTCAGCCTAGTCTACAGAGTGAGTTCCAAGACTACATAGAAACCTTTTCTCGGGAAAGGAAAGATGGAAAGATGGATGGATGGATGGATGGATTGACGGACGATAAACAGACAGATAGATTAGATAGAATAAGGTGAAAAATCAAGAGGGTTGGAGAGATAGCTCAGCAAGCATGAGGAACTGAGTAGGTGGGTAGTGGTCCACCTGTAACCCGAGCACTCATGAGCTGGAGTCAGCGACTGCCTGGGCAGCCACACCATCAGAAGAAGTAATTCTGAGTTCAGCCAAGAGACCCTGCCTCAATTTATATGGTGGAGAGTGATCCAGGAAGACACTCCAACTCATCACACACACACACACACACACACACACACACACACACCCCTCATGGTATGCATGCATATGCACACACATATATACAATAAATAACTGGGCTGCTCAGAAGGCAGAAGCAGACAGACCTCTGCGAGTTTCAAGGAACAGAAAAAGGAACAAAAGGAATAAACACTGCCACCAAAGAATAAACATTTTAAAGAGAAGAAAATGTTAATTACCCTAATTTGATTGTTAGAATCCATGTATCAAATTATCACATTGTCCTCCATAAATACGTCCAATTAGTAAGTGTCAATTAAAAAACAACAAAAGACACTGTGCTGAGTCAAGAGCAACCAGCTTTCAGGAGAGGAGGGGCTGTGAGCAGAAGCTGAGCTGCTTCCAGTGAGGACATGCTGGGGCTGACAGCAAACACCAGCCTCAAGGGAGACAGAAGCCAGTATGCCAACTCCAGAGAGTGGGAAAGACTTCCAACAAACAAGTCCAGGCAGGAAAAATAGTGGGTTTTTTTTTCTTAAGACAGGATCTCTATGTAACCCGGGCTGATCTGAAACTTGAAATGTAGGCCAGGTTGGCCTAGAATTCAGATTTACCTGCCTCTGCCTCCTTAATGTTGGAATAAAAAGTGTGTGCCAGCTGGGCGGTGATGGCGCACACCTTTAATCCCAGCACTCAGGAGGCAGAGGCAGGCGGATCTCTGTGAGTTCGAGACCAGCCTGGTCTACAAGAGCTAGTTCCAGGACAGTCTCCAAAACCACAGAGAAACCCTGACTCGAAAAACAAAAACAAACAAACAAAAAAAAAAGTGTGTGCCACCATACCCACCTTTCTCTGATTTTTAATAATTTTAAGGCTTTATTTTTACTTATGTGTATAAATACTTGCTTGAACATATGTGTGCATCATGTGCATGCAGTGGCCTCAGAGGTCAATCCCCTTGGGAATAGAGTTACAGCTGGTTTTAAGCTGCCATAGGGGTGCTGGAAATCAAACCCAGGTCCTCTGAAAGAGCAGCCAGTGCTCTTAACTGCTGGGCGATCTCTCTAGTCTAACCCCCTCCACAACCTGAGACAGGGTTTCTCTGTGTAACCTGGCTGTTTTGGTACTCACCCTCTAGACCAGGCTGGCCTTGAAGTGAGAGATTACACCCAACTCCCTTTTCAACTGTTAATTAAAAAACAAAAACAAAACTTTTGAGACAGAATCTGATGTAGTAGTCCAGGCTGGCCTGGAACTCACCAACAATCTTCCTGTCCTAACATCATAAGAGCTAGAATTAACAGACACGAGCCACCATGACCGGTTCAGCATACGGACTATTCTAGTAGGCAGCATCCTCAGTCTTCCTTCACTTCCTATCCTCATGTTTACATTGAGTACAGGCACACACAGGTCACAGTGCACAAGTGGAGGCCACAGACAACCTGTGAGAGTTACTTCTCTCCTACTACTACATGGGTTACAGGAATCCGTCACCAGAGTTGGTAGCAAGCGCTTTGCTCTCTAAGCTCAAATCCACACAAGGAATGAACTGTACTTCAGCCAAGGAAAGGAATGCACCAAATCTGTTGCTGACAGCTTCACACAAGTAAGGATCAACACTAAATGACCAAGCAACTCCAGGTAAATCTGGTCCTGAGTTACAAAAGTCACTCTAGGCATCCCTAAGGGATTGGTTCCAAGACTCTTTCCCAACAGACACCGAAAGTACACGTTCAAGTCCCTTTAAATTATTTAAAATTTCATTTCTGTCTGTATAAGTGTGCATATGCATTCACAGGCATGCCACATGTATGAAGGTGAGGGGGTATCTTATGAGAGTTATTTCTCTCTTTCCATGATGGGAATCCCAGGTATTGAGAGCAAGTTGTCAGACTGGGCAGCACATTTACATCTAATGAGCCATTCTTCAGTCCCTTTTTTAAAATGACAGAGCTGGCTGGCGGACATTTCATCCCAGCGTCAGGCCTACCTCAAGCTCCTGGATCAGTTTGCAGAGTGAAGGGCCAGCAAATGTCTCGGAACTGCCCCCACTTGCTCCAGCAGCCGCTGTCTCGTGCCCTCCTGTTCTTAGCGTGCTGGAATCTCCACCGTGGCACTCTTACCGTGCTTAGTTAAAGACAACTGTCCCTTACGGGAGCAAAGAGGAGCAGGTAGCCTTGATAAACATGAGAAGGCCAGAATGCCCGTGAGGAGAGTGATGCTCAAACAGGCCAGCACCGCAGTGATTGCCGCACAATAAAGCGGTTTAGATTGAGGATTTGGGGGAAAGAGGACATTTGACGAGGCTCTGACTGGGTCACTTGCTTTTAGGCTTCCTAGAACCCAGTATCTGAGAATTGAGAGTTGATTTTCTTTTAGTCCCTGGCCCTGTTCTTCCATAACTGCCCCATCCCTTCTGAACTCTGAGCTTAAAGGCTTGGATTGTACCAGATGTTGCAGGGGCCAAAGACAGCACAGAATAAACTGCCTTTTCCTAAGGAGCCCCCCCCTCAAAATGACGGAGATGACAAGAAAGAGAAATGACTCCCACATGTTCTCTGACCTCCACATGTATACTATGGCATGCACATGCCCCTGCACTCAAACACACATCACACACACAAAATAAACCAATATTGAAGACATGTATTGGTAACATCATATATACTTTAAACATCTCTACAGATTACTTATAACTACCAAACAATGCAAATGTAACATACATGGCTGTTGTACCATATTTGTTAGGAATCAGTCCTAACAGTTCAGAAGAGACAATCATCTCAGGCAAACCCACACAGCACACCAGCAACAATGTAACACTTCTTATTCAATCTACAGATAGGGAGGCTAATCTGGCTAAACTATTTTGGGGCAGTGATCATGTATTCTACACTGATGTCTTCTCACTGACCTTGACATCGCTCAAACATAATTTTGTACTGATTTGAATATAGTGGGCTCAGGGGCTGGAGAGAGAGCTCACAGGTTAAGAGTCCTGAGTTCAATTCCCAGTAACCACATGGTGGTTCACAACCATCCATAATGAGATCTGGTGCCCTCTTCTGGCATGTAGGCATACATGCTGGCAGAATACTGCCTACAAAATGAATATATAAATAATAAAAATAACTTTAAAAAATATAGTGGGCTCAATATGTATAAAATTTCAAAAAAGATACTAGAAGCTCAAATGTTAACCATAACCCTTTTCTTTCTCCTCTTCCATTGAAGAGAAATAAAACAGAAGTTACTGGGAGTGGTTGTGCACACCTTTAACCCCAGCACTCGGGAGGCAGAGGCAGGCAGATCTCTGAATTCTAGGGCAGCTTGGTCTACAGAGTGAGTTCTAGGACTTCCAGGGCTATTACACTGAGAAACCTTGTCTCAAAAAAATTGAACAAAACAAAAAGCTAGTGGGACAAGCCTAAGCTACAGGCCAAGCTTTCATAATTAACAATAGTCTCCCTGTTGTTTTTTGGTGAGCTGGCGGCCCAAAGAAAAGTCCAACTATAGTGGTGTACACCTTCAATCTCAGCACTTGAGAGGCAGAGGCAGGCAAATCTCTGGTCTACAGAGAGAGTTCCAGAACAGTCTGGAAACACAAAAACACTTTTTTTTTTTTTTTTTTTTTTTTTTTTTTTTTTTGGTTTTTCGAGACAGGGTTTCTCTGTGAAAAACACTTTCTTGAAGAAACAAAACAAAACAAAACAGGTACTGGATGTCAGTATATATGTGTGCACGTGCAAAAGTGCCCGCGTGGAGGGCAGAGAACAGTTCTTTCCTTCTATCTGACATGTGTGCAAAGAGGACAGTTCTTTCCTTCTATCTGACATGTGTGCAAAGAGGACAGTTCTTTCCTTCTATCTGACATGTGTGCAACAGTGCCCGCGTAGAGGGCAGAGGATAGCTCTCTCCTTCTATCTGACATGTGTGCAACAGTGCCCGCGTAGAGGGCAGAGGACAGTTCTTTCCTTCTATCTGACATGTGTGCAAAGAGGACAGTTCTTTCCTTCTATCTGACATGTGTGCAAAGAGGACAGTTCTTTCCTTCTATCTGACATGTGTGCAACAGTGCCCGCGTGGAGGGCAGAGGACAGTTCTTTCCTTCTATCTGACATGTGTTCTGGAAACCAAACTCAGTCTCCAGGCTTGACTGGAAAGTACCTTTACCTGGCTGAACCAGTACTCAGGAAAGTGACAGAAAGACCTTACAGTGTATAGCATATACTGGCCTCTACTTTACCTGGCTGAACCAGTACTCAGGAAAGTGACAGAAAGACCTTACAGTGGCCTCTACTTTACCTGGCTGAATCAGTACTCAGGAAAGTAACAGAAAGACCTTACAGTGTATAACATATACTGGCCTCTACTTTAATTACAAATGCTGCTGGGATTAAAGACATGTATCATCAGTCCTGACAAATCTAAATAGCATGAATTATTATTTTGATTTGCGGGGGGGATGCTGTGTGTGTGTGTTTAACAATTTTCTTTTCTTGGCTAGGAATGGTGACGCAGGCCTTTAATCCCAGCACTTACAAGGTAGGTGGATCTCTGTGAGTTTGAGGCCAGTAGGGCTACACAATAAGTCCCTAATTAAAAATTCTTTTCTTCACATTTTATTTCTATTCTGTGTGGGAAGGCATGTTCATACTACCATACATACAAGTGGAGGACAGAGGACAACCTGCACTATGTGGTTTCTGGAGGCTGAACTCAAGTTATCAGGCTTGGCAGGACTGCCTTCACCCACAGAGCCAACTGACTAGACGGCCTTGTTTTTGTTTCTTGGTTTTTTTTTTTGTTTGTTTGTTTTTTTTTGAGATAATAACCTCCCCTGACCCAGACTGGCCTCTACTTCCCAAATGCCACTGGGATTAAAGACGCGTACCACCAAGCCCAGCTTCTGCTCTTTCAAATAAGGAATCTGGTGCCGGGCGGTGGTGGCGCACGCCTTTAATCCCAGCACTCGGGAGGCAGAGGCAGGCGGATCTCTGGGAGTTTGAGGCCAGCCTGGTCTACAAGAGCTAGTTCCAGGACAGGCACCAAAGCTACAGAGAAACCCTGTCTCGAAAAACCAAAAAAAAATCCATAGATCAAATAAGGAATCTGGAGAACAAGGAACTAAACCCAGGCAGCAAAGAACAGGTTAAGGAAAAAGGCTCTGCTAGATGAGGGAGTACATTTCCGTGATACCAAACACTTGGGGGGGGGGGGGCGCAGAAACCAGAATCAAGAGTTACAAGTCATCCTCTACTACACAGTAAATTTAAAGTCAATCTGAGCTCTAAAAGACCAGTCTCAAAAAACAAAAACAACAACAAAAGCAATTGACTGTGGTGGCTCACACCTAGGGTCCCAGTCCTCCAGAGGATGAGGGAGTCCAGCTGCCATGAGTTTGAGGTCCATGAGGCCCAACTCTAGCTGAGGTGCTATTATTAGCAGTTAATGGCTGCTGGAATAAGGGGAGCCATTTTTCTTCAGTATGTAGTCCTACACTCATGTTCATGCAAACAACCTTAATTAAATGCAGCAATTAAAAAAGACAGTAAGTAGGAACAAAGAAGGGCTTCAAAGGGAAGGGAATAAGAAAGGGTAATGGGGGATGAACATGAACAATATACATTACATACATGTATGAAGTTGTCAAAGAAAAAAATTATATTAAACAAACCAGGAAGCTGCGAGTGGTGGTACATGCCTTTAATCCCACCACTCAGACATAGAGGCAGGCAGGTCTCTGAGCTGGAGGCCAGCCAGGTCTACAGAGCTAGTTCCAGGACAGCCAGGGCTATAGAGAAATGCTGTCTCAAAAAACCAATCAAACAACCAAACAAAAGAGGAATTAGAGAGATGGCTCTGTGGTTAAAAGTACATTTGTTCTTGCAGGACTCAGGTTCAGTTCTCAGCACCCATGCATCAGCACACAACCTCCTTTACATCCAGTTCTAGGGCTCTTTTCAACACTGCAGACAAATGGTTCACATACATATGTATCGGCAAAACACCAATACACACAATTTTTTTTTTTTTGGTTTTTCGAGACAGGGTTTCTCCGTGGCTTTGGAGCCTGTCCTGGAACTAGCTCTTGTAGACCAGGCTGGCCTTGAACTCACAGAGATCCACCACCTGCCTCTGCCTCCCGAGTGCTGGGATTAAAGGCGTGCGCCACCACTGCC